ATAAAATTTACGGGTTTACAAAAGTAATGAAAATGTACCGCGTTCCGGACGAGGTTTCCAGTCCTTCGTGCAGGTGTGTGACGCGGCCGGGGCTCACCAGAACCCAACCGACTTTGGTATCCTTAACGGAACAGTTGTAGCGCACAAACCGGATACCACCACCCTGAAAAGAACGAAAAAAACAAGGGTTGAGTTTCATTCTTTTAAATTAGTTCTCAGGCAAAAGCCGTAAGTAATTCCGACAATCACTCGTTATGCGCAATGTCTTTTCTCTGCTTTGCACGATCCGTGCCAAATTCAAAAATGGTTCGTTATCCGTTCGGTTGATAAGAGGAGTTTAACCATTAGCAGTGTATTTGTTAACAACAATACCATTACCAATAAAGGGTACAATAGTTAGGAGAAAATTAATTAAATTTATGTTCAAGGGTTCACAAAAGTTACAAATATATATCGGGTTCCTGAAGTGGTTTCAAGTCCTTCGTGCAAGTGTGTCACTCGTCCGGGGAAAGTAGCGACCCATCCAACCTTCGATTTGACCAATGAACAGTTGTAGCGAACGAAACGTGTTCCGCCGCCCTAGCAGGAAAAGATGGAATCCAATCATTCCAGCTGTTAAACGTATACCCATATTTATGAATAGCTTAGCTTAGTCCAACGATTCTACCTGGGCTTTCTATCATACTGTTGATAGGAATAATTCAGAATACCAAACTTGCCTGATAGTCGATTCCAGGACGGTTCAATGCAATATTGAGAGTGTATGAGGAGGCGTCGTGATGTGCCCTCAAGGATGGCTGTTCATCCGGACGATAACGGACAACAAAGTTCATTCGGGCCCAAGGCTGTAAGGAAGATTGTTTGATATACGTTTATCATCACACTTAATAAAATGCTTATTGATCGGGATATTTTTCGTTCTTAGATGAGAAAGATCAAGGACAACGCCAATCAGCATGAACTACGATTGAAACTGTAACCCTCCTTCCTCTGAGTTGATCGTAATTGTTTCCTAATAAAACTTATTGTGAAGATGCTTTATCCATTTATCCAAGGGGTCTAGTGGGATGAGCTGCAGTATTGTGCAGCCAAAAAATATGGAGTATTATGAACGTCAAACTCACCTTATCGTCGTACCCCTGGAATAACTTCATTTGCATGGGGTGCACGTACTTGCGTAGGATATGAAGCCAGTGTTCTTCCCATCCGACTTGCCTCATGTGAATGTCACGCGTCGGCACATTCTCGTACCCGCCTTCTAGACGCGGATCATAGTTTTTGCCGTCGGACCACTGTCCAAAATGTTCCATTTCTTCGATCAGTTGTCGACAAAACTTCTCCGTTACCATGGGGTACCAGAAAACATCCGGGCATGGTTGTTCAATATCAGTCATACCAACCGTCGGGGCAACCAGTTTGTGGTAGTCCTTGTGAATGTACTGTTCTTCCCAATCCTATCGAGAAAGTCAAAATGGAACAATCCTTATTCTCTGTAAAATGGTGACCACAGGATTTGTACTAGCTTCTGTGCTTTCGGTAAATCATACAAAAATAGTGCAGTGCATGGATTTTTTTGTAACAAAAATTTATCCGAAGCCATCATCTTCATTCGGGTTAGATCAAACCTGTCTGCAAAAAAATGAGATGAACTCCACTGCTGCAGGGCTGACGATATTTGAGGTCGTCAGTGAGTGGCTCTACTTATGTGAGAACGAATATTTAACTAACCTTATGGGGAAAGTGTATATATATATATATATATATATGTCGTTTATGTGCATTGCGTCTCCAGGGTTCAATCAGTGTCCGGAAGGGAAGCAACACCGATAGGTGTTTGATCATCGTATCCGCATACGCACCGACCAATTGCAGTTCTGATACCCAAACGAATGCTTTCTACGATTAATTCATTGAGTACTTGCGGCTGAGTCGAAGCTCCGACCTAGATTTATTTGCAGGTGACTTCAACGCGCAGGTTGAAAAACTGGGCGCATCAGAACCTTACCTAAGTGGTAGTTGTGCTCTACCATGCCAACGAACAGATAACGATGACTGACTTCAGTTCTGCGCGGCTCATCATCTCTTCCTATTTAGCGTCAACTTCCGACACAGCTCCCGACGTACGGCAACGTGGCGCTTCAGTTCAACTGGTGCACTAACTCAAATCGATCACATAGCAGTAAGCTAACGTTGGCTTGGCTCAGTGCAAAATTGCAGGTCCTACTGGACCGACTGCGTTGAGTCAGACCACGCATTAGTTTTGATGCAGTTCACTGACCGACCACAAAGCCAGCAAACTTGGATGGCTCATCATCGATTATCTCTTCCAACAGTTCGTGCACGCTTAGTCATATCCAAGGTGTCGCGGTGCGACGTGTCAGATCAAAAGTAACTAAGCCAGCGGAATGCAGAGCATTCTTGATGAGTGACCAGTGCTGATTGATCTTGGGTGGGATTGTTTCTAGCTTTTCAGCTAGCATGTTTTGGAAGACAGACGAGATGGTTTGGACAGCTTATCAGTCTAACCGTCGTATCGAGCGTTTGGAACGCCCACCGAAGCAAATGGAAAGCTTGGCGCGTATCCGGTAGTGTTTTGTCTTCATTTATATATTTGTATTTTCGTCACACTGTACGTTGTGTACGTTGTTCGTCCCTTTGAAAAGTAGGCGATCACTTCGTTGATTTCGCTACTGTATAAGCAGGAGGAACGCTCCGCTAAAACTAGTTCTTTGCCATAAGGCATCAGAGCTGGGGTAGACGACACCGAATATTGTAGCATCACTTTGCGCATTGAGGATGTAAATCGCATTCCAGATGGAGTTACAGAACTTGAAAAGCTGTCCAGAGCGCTTTGCGCGTCGTACACACTAACAGACAAACTATTTCGTCAGCGAAATCCAAATCGCACAGCTTTTCTTCATCTGCCCATTCAATACAAAGCTTTGAGAAATCTTTTAGTGAGTATTCACGTACCTAAACTAGGACGAAGGTGAATAAGAATGGCCAAATAGTGCTCCAGGTTTCGAACGATTTTCATGGAAAAGCGGAACATAGTTCCGCCTTAAATGATGCAGCTTCACGAACGCCATGCAGGCTTCACGGAGGCAAGTCGGTGTCTCTTCTATCAGTCGCACGAAAGTATTCGTTGTACTGTTTAACAGAAGAACCATAATTTTTGATGGAAAACGCTGATCGTTTTTCCGCCTAAAAGTTGGACTCTACAGCTGTTCCCGTTCATAACGCTCTGAAGGACAAAAGGACACCGACCTGCGGAATACTTAATAATTACGCATCGGACGGCGTGAGTAGTGATAAGTGGTTTACTGCTGTGACATCCCTATTTCCGTTTGGTTCTTCGTTTTCTAGGACTAACCCATCCCGTCCGTAGTTTTCAACACTGTGTATCATTCAACTAATAGTGTTATAAGTATTTTGCGGTAGCAAGCTTGGATTAGCCGATACGATTGTTAAGAGGCACCAGGCACTCTTGATGATCTTTTGAGTAGTTCAGGGTAATACTATTGGGGATTTGGAGACCTCGTCAGTCTCTGAATGCTGGGACCTTCAACGTGAAGGCCCATGCACATCGGTCAACAACCTTGCCTTGTGCTTACAATTGATTTCCTTGCAATCGACAGTTGCTCTGTAGAGTGGACGCGAGTTCAGGACCCTATTAGTATAAGCCAGTTCAGCACCCTAGGACTGTCATCGAGGTCCCCCACACATCAATAGAAGATGAAGCTCGTCTAATGGTCAGCATAGAGTGGGTTCATACTGAACGACAAATTTGAGGTTTCTTCATAAGTTCTGTGCGCAATGGAGCTCCATTACTAAGTTAGTATTTTTTAGGTTAAGTAATACCAAAAGGCGTCTATTTATCACTGCGCATATGCACTGGTCAACTACTGTACCGAAGGAACATATTCGAGGACAAACGTGTCAGAATCATTCGGATGAGCCACAGCTGTGATACAGTTTGCTCGGCAGATGGTTTTAACGCGCAAGTTATAAAACTGAACACTTCCAAAGCGTGTGGTTTCGCTCTACCCAGACAGCAAACGTATGTGCGAGGAAAGTATCTATGAAAAGTCCTTTGGGCAGCTAGTGAACAATGTTGGGGTCTACGAGACAATATGAATCGATGGGTAAAACGTTCACTTTGCACACAAAATCTACAGTGGCATCTGCACGTTACATGTTACCAGACCTGTCGTAAGTGTATCATTTGAAAAACGGACTTCAGCAACAGATCTCGATGAGTGACAGGCGTTTCTGTGGGGCTTTAGGGTGTGTAAAGGATAGGAGACAAAGAACTGAACAAAATTGGCAGGTAGGAAACTTCTGGCTTTATAAATACCCACACTTCCAACTTCATCTTAGCAAGCTTGGATTAACCCTTTTGATTGTTAAGAGGCACAAAGTGATGACCGTCGACTGTGTAATTCAGGGGTAAGGGTTTGAAGTCCCAACCCGAAATTTCGCGGTTCGAAACAGCTGTCCAGTGCTCTTTGTCTTTTATCACGAAAATTTCTACCCTCAGTTCCAATTTGTACGGTAGTTATCCATGCACTTTCTTGCAACGGTTTTTGTTACTGCCGTTGAGCTGCCAATTAGATGAAGCTATAGAAGAAGGAGAGAGATTGAACGTAGTGTCGAAGAGAAAACGGAGAATCCCGGCAAATTGAATTTGCAACCCAATATCCCGACTTATATGATCGAGTCTCCTAGTCAGGGTTTCCTACCCTCATGCCAGGTCTCATTTTGACCACCCTTGACCTTTTTCACCCACTACCTGCCTCGGCAAGCGTCGCGCGTCGTGGCAACTTATTTGGCGAAATACGTAACACATGCCCCAAAGAACGTAAACTATGGGTGACGGCGGTTTCGTATTACTCTGCGCCCAACCTCAGCACTGCTCGTCCGGTTGCCCGACGAGATTCGTGCGATGTTGCGATTGTTACTGTATGTACCACTACTAGTTTTATCATTCGGTTTGACTTAAGCTCGTTTCCCTATAGGGTCGTTGGCGGAGAACGATTGAAATCGGAGATGTCATTACGTAGCAAATGATTACGTCTGATAAGCAGTTTCTACTTAGTCCATTGCGTGCAGTAATTGTTCTTATGAGTACGTACCAAGGGGTTATCAAATACTTGCCACAGGTCATTGTGAAGGTGTTCTCCAGTATAGGTGTCAGCGTAGATCAAGTATCCGAAGGAACGCTGGTTGTCTACCAGCATGAAAATATTCTGAAACAAAACGATAGCATCTTTAAGGATTGCAATTGTATATTTGATCAGTGACTGCGGTATAAAACAATAGCGGCATTGTGAAACGTGCTGAACATCTTGCGCCAAATCTAGCTTAAATACAATATGGCTAGTTTTCATTAATTACCTTTACAAACGAAACGGTTTGATGGTTTTCAACTTTGGGAAATCAATCTCTTTGTGGCTTATCACTGCTTCCTCTTCCTAGATTTCGTGGTTTCCATTTAAAAAATGCCTCTCGGACTGAAAATTCGCATTCGATTGTAACAAGTGTTAAGCGTAGAAAACGTCAAAGACTTGGTGTGTTGGAAATTCATTTTTTACTCTTCTATTAAACTGCCATCCGGAAGGAAATCCAGCAGATAGAAAGCTCGTTTATTACGTTTACACCCAAAGAAATCAAGTCTGAACAACTGAACCTCATTTAGGGTGCTTGTTTCCTACCAAATAGGTAACTGGCGTTGGCAGCACC